CTTCCAATCTCTACACCCAACACTTTCACTCAAAATGCAAGTAAGCTCAACATTTAATAGAAAATGGACTGAATTATGAAAATCATACCAAGAGATGCTTGACATGCAACTTACCAATTTTAGATTTGAAAGCATCAGGTCTACGCTGCAACACCTCGGTGACGGCCTGGTTTCTAGCACGCTCATTTTCTGGGGTATCAGAGTTGTTCTTGCACTCGGTGCAATGGCAATTTCCGCAAGCTCGACCACTGGCGAAACACTCGCAATACAACTTGAGGCACTGTGTTCGGAAGCAAGAACAACGACGTTGTCCACCGCCAGAGCTACTTTGTGAGCCGGAGGCTGGTGTAGAAACTAGCTGCAGAGAAGGTAGACAAGATGTCAGCCCCGGGGAGCCGGAGCCTAGCTGAGAGTCACCGGCTGAGGAAGAGCGGATGAGAGAAGACGATGAGTGGGTGGTGTTTGTGGATATGGTGGTCTCACTTGAGTTAGGAAGAAAGTCACCTCTAGTTTGACCGTTTGCTGAATTCAGAAGCTCACCATCTGGATTAAAAAGGAATTAAGTGTCATGGCGAATGGAAAAAAATGTCGGGTTGCAAAATAGGCCGAGGAAAGAAAGTGTGTGCTAAGACAATACGAGCTCATCCTGATTCGTATGCCAAAAATAAGGTTCGTTATCGCCAATAAAATCAAAGGGTGAATTTCGCTCAGTTGGTATTTTAATTTTTGGCATAAAAAGGCTTGTTAAAATGACAAAGATTTTATCAAGTAAGCAATTAACCTAAGTTTTTAACGATATTAAATTATCCTAGACTAAAAATGCTAAAAGTCCAAATTAATTGCAGTTAATTTTGTTAGCCAAGTAGACGTCTCGGCATCTCCTTATGCAATAAAGCTTGGCTGGAAAAGTTTAAGAGTAAAGCATTGTTCTAAATTATATAAGCGCCGAACAGTATATTAACGAAGACATAGTTTTTGAGAATTACTTTGAGTTCAATCTAATCATAAAATATAAAAAATAAATTAAATGAATTATCCCATTCAATTTAAATTAATGCCTAATGCATGTTAATAAAGCTTAATGAGATAAAATAAGATTTTCTCGGCTCGTTTGAGAACTCGGTAAAAGTTGATAGGATAAAAAAATTTACTAATTATGGCTCAACTTAACTATTCGGGAGAGTAGAGATGAAGAAGCAATTTCGAAACTTTAGAAAGAAAAAAGATGGGTTAGAAACAAAGTTACCATAAAAGCAATCTATAGTTCAAAGAAATAACCGATGAATTAGGTTACCCACTTGCCTGGGTCACATATTTTGTCTTCAAAAATAAGGATAGGAATATAAGATTGTAAGAATCCAAGTGAATTACGAACAGCAAGACTAGCCAAAAGTATTTGTTATATGAGGTGTGTTTACTCTATTTCGTTTAAGTTAAGGAAGGACTAGTAGTTTAATTTTCCAGCAAGGAATGGAGTAGATATTAACTTTCCAATGAATTTCTCATAATCTTACTTCCCAAAAGGTAATCTCATCCTGGTTGGAGTGGACTGCAGTTTTTACATCGCACCCCCAGTGAGACCGAATCATGATGGTGCAGCACGTAATCTCGACACGTTAACGACTACACCCGTTGTTGCGAGTGGCCGGATGTGAATTCCGAGGGAGGCCAAGCATTTTCCAATATCATATAATGTCCCACCAGAGCATGTAATGGAAAATTCAATTTTAACTCATGTCATTGTTGGAAAATTGAACTGCCAGTCCTTCATCACTTTAAGCGAAATATGATGAACAAATCTCATATAACTAAGTTACTTGTAGTCCCGAAAACCTAATTACAAACGAAAAAAAGTATTGAAGTTGCTTGACTTTGATTTCGCAACTCGAGACAAGTGTCTCTGACGAATTGTTGTATGGTGCTAAGAATGGCAAGACTCACTGACGATGCCGAAAAAAACGTATGGGAATGTACCACGTCCACGGTTCGACTTTGTAAAGTATCATGTATACAATAGACTCCGGACTAAGTGCGTTCCTCTAAGTCTTCATACCAATATGACCAAGTTGCGAAAACAAGGTCAAACAACTTTTACGT